TGTATAAATCTATTTTTGTAGAATGGGCAGTTCTAGCACAAAACTAAAAACTGTGGCATATAAATCTTCTTCTGGAGATTTCTTGTAGTGCTTGGCAAGAGATTTCTATAATTGTAAAAAACAAATTCGAACCTTTGTGCAAAGATGTTAAATATCTTGCACTTAAAGATCTTATTGATAACTCAATTCCACTTATATTAGATGTTTATGCTGTTCTTTTCTGATCTGGTGATTTTAATGCTTAACTAGAATCTTGCTTTCATGTTTGGACAATATTTTATAGATTTCATCATAAGAATTATATGAAAGCACCATTGATATTTCTCTATAATATCTTTTACTAGAAGTTGAACAACCACCCAATTTTTTAGACCATTAAAACTGAACTCCCAAAATTTTCAGATGTACCAGTAGAAATATTTCACAGCTTTTTACGTAGGAGTATACAAAAACATACAGAGCTACAACAAATTATTAAATACGAATACTATATTAATCAATTGCGTCTAGATGACAATGGCTTTAGAGAAAATTTTGTGTATACATCTGCATAGACTGCATATGAATACTCAGCATAGGATATAACAGTTTGACAAAAAAATGCTTCTGTTTTCTTTTGAATTGTTTTTCTAAAATTTATACATGTTTAGTTCATCACAAATTACTAATACCACTTCCATTACAGACAAATCATAATGCTGTCATTTCATTAGCTGCGATAAAAATGCCAGAAGCACAATTGTGTCATCTTCTCTTGGGCTTTAGTACTTTGCATAAGCTGAATCCTTCTCTTCATTCCGATGCATCAAATTGTTTTATTTTGTCTACTAATCTTGTTAAAATTCTAGCTTGTAGTCACACCTATTATAAGATCTATTATAGAAATAATGGATCTATATGTTCTCATTGTTTTTTATTTTTGTGAAAAGGTGTTGATGAGCAGGTTGAGTCTTTATTAGATTCTTTACAAAGCTTGGATAAAAAATGAAAAAAAGGCTGTAGAGAAAGAAAATAATATTCTCTGTAATGATGACGACAAATGTAAAAGACTAACAAAATATGCAGCAAATTCATTCAAAAAAGCATTATTAGATTTTCAAATGAAATAGTTTAATTTATTATTTTATTATATAATTTTATTGTAATGTCTACAATAGTGAAATCTCTATATAATATTTAATAAATATTTAAAATAAAAAATTCCAATTCAAACAATTTTTACACGAATTTGGGTATTATAAAAAAATGCAATTACATTTTTGCATTTTTAATAATTTTGCATTATTTAAAGACCGATAAAATATAAGTGTGAAAGTTTATTAAACTACATACGTACAATAAAAAAGTATTACATCAATTAAATATAGAGCACTTAAAATAGCTTTATCAGCTCACAAATATTGTAAATTTGTATTTGTAATATTTTTTTTGTGAAGTAAATTATTTTAGCCTTTAAATTTAATTAAATATATACTCTATAACTTATATTGTATAAATCGCTCTTTTAAAATTAAGCACTTTGATTGGTTTATTATTACAGAAAATCATGGGTAGATCTACAAAAATTAACCAATCATATAAATGTTTGCCTATGAATAATACACATGATTGAGGAATTATGCGCACACATGAAACCCATCTCTACTTAAAATATTTAATAAATACAACCCCATGTATAATAAAAGTTATTAGCACAACATTGTGCTACTTAAAGCTTTTTGCCAAAAATCCTTTCCATATAAATCAAAATGATTTATGTCTAATCATAAATTTTATTAGAAACGATCTACAGAGCCCTGGCAAAAAAAAAAAAAAGAAATAATTGCAAGCTGCATCATTATTTTTTGATGCATTTAACAATTAAACAATTTATCAATAATATGCAGCGTATATAGATGCTATTAATGCACATAAGAGAAGGTAGGGTATTATAGTATGGGTGGGTAATATGACGTATTTGTGTTTTTTGCTAATATACTGTGATATATTAATTAGAATTGAAAAATTTTAGACTATTCGATTCATCTTACTGAGATGAATCAAATAATATGGTTTATTTTTTGTTTTAATTGATAAACTACAAGATTTAAGTAAAATTGTTATTACTTTGCTAGTATTAAAATTCTTTTAATTTTTATTAGATATATCCTCATTAAGGTAATACAATATCTGAAGCAATGATGCAACAATACAATATGAACAAATAATGATACTTAGTTACTCAAAATTTAAAAAAATATGGCATTTTTTAAGTATATTTTGAAGTTAATATTTTAAAAAAATTTTTTTAAGGTTGATATTTTTTATTGGCAGATAGTTAATTCAATGAGTGATCTATTTCAATAAATTTCAAAAATAAATATATTTTTTCTGAAAATTTTTATATAAGCAATTTTTAGGTGCACTATAATACCCGACTCTCCTTTACAAGATGAGATCCCAGAAATAACAACTAGAATTGCACCCTGTATTACTGTCATCAGCATAATAATAATTTGTAATATGAATCATAAACCGCTTATCTTACATATATTAAGTCTTAAAGATATGTACGATAAATGGTAGGGTTATACTTGAGTGTGCGAATTCGGGTGTGAACTCACTAAAAGCACGAATTGCTTATGTCTATTTTTGTTATAAAGAGTCATCATTAATAATTATTAAAATTAAAATTTTACTCATTTACAGTATGTTATCTCATTCGTCCTTGACTTATCTACTTGTTCTATCTTGATTGACTGCTGAACTAGTTTTCTGACTAGTTCGTAATTTTAGGAATTAGCAGGTATGTCCCCGCTTAGCCAGCTTCAACTATCAACCTGAATTGAATTAATTTGATCTTCAATTTGCAAAAATTTTTGAAACTCATAAAAATTTTGCTATTTCCAATATTTAAAAAGCAAACAATTAATATTTCTAAATGCAATTTTAAAAAATCATAAAGTATTGTATGCCTATTTACCTAATAAAATCAAATATCTCTGGTCTTATTTTATTATATAAATCAAAACGTTGTTATGTTTTGATTGACACACCCTATTTTATCAACGCAAAATCACCAGATTTGTTTAAAAACTGTGAATATGTGGCAATGCAAGATGTTTTATATTATTATTAAATTAATTTTTTTTATGTGGCTACATAAAGATAAATAAAAACAAAGTGGCTTAATAGATAAAAATCGGCTCTTTTGAATAGTCACTATAAATATTAAAAGTGAAAATAGCATATAAATGAAAAATATTATGAAAAATAAAATAAATTTGGCTTATAAACAACAATTTAAATACAATTTCATCTAAGTTATTGCATATTATTATTGATTAATAGATAATTAAATAACAATAATTTATTTTTTTCTATGTCAAATAGAAAATCTCAATAATCTATTGCAACATTGAAAAATATGTAGAAGTAAATAGGCTGTATTTAATTACTAGTCCAATTTGCAATTTTGTAGTAGAATTTGGTAAAATTTTCTGCAAAATAATCTATTTTTATCTCTACTATCAAATACTTATAAATTACAGAACTTACAGTATTATTGTCAAGATAATCAGGAATTATGAAAATCAAGTTTTGTTTCATAAGGCCAGACCAATTTAATTATCTGTTTTACATTCCTCCCTCTTCTCTCTGGAATAGGGGGAGAGGAGAATTTGTGGTTTACATAGTAAAATTTTTAAACTTTTTTTTTTTAAAAAAAATTTTCCTGAATTTTCCATGACTTAAAAAAATTTCTGAAATATTCATAGTTCTATGTATATTTATCCAATTTTTTTTTTACTATGAGGGATAGGGGAGTAATGATGCCTGATGAATGATGAAATGTACATCATTAACATATGACGAAACTATTTCACCAAGCAACTTTGAATTGACTAATTGACAACTGACGAAACCTATAACTATTGATAAAACCTTGACAATTGATGAAACCTATGACGAAACCTATATGCACCCTAATGTTGGGCAAGTTCCAGGATGAAGATCACTTTTGATATACATCAGAACCAATGGAATTACAGAATTCTATGTAACAATACTAGCTGCTGCACCAATTTTGTTTTAATTTTGATTGGCTAACGGTCATGATTTGCAATATTTTGGCCCACCCTACATAATTGTTTACATAATTTTTGGCCAAAATTAACTTTTTACTTTTTTTATACCAAAATAAAAATTAATTAACCCAAGAACATTTTTCACTTAATAGGCAGCAGTGATTTCATTAGTAAAATTTTTGGTAATTTCAACCTGAATTTTTGATCGTTGCTCTTAGCCAACCACAATTAAGAATCTACCGTGACAATTTTGGTGAGGTAGCTAGGCTCAATATAAAAAATTCGCAAAATAATACTGTGATGATGATCTTTAAGTAGAAGTTTTCTGTTTTTCTTAAGACACACATACCAACATTATGTTAATCACCTGGATATCCGATGGATCTGATGATGTAAACTATTAACAAGTATTACTAGCTTCAAATTCTGTATAATTTAAACCCAAAATTTTATATAAATTAGCAAAACTTTATTATGAAATAACAGTAATTAAAAAAAATTTAAGAACAACATATTTAATGATCATTATAAAGAAGTTCGACAAATAATAGTCCATTGCATTTTGGCGTTTCATTGGTCAAATTGAATTTTTAAAGGTTTTGCCAAAGCACTTTTTGTAAAGTGTTTTTTATTTTTTTGATAGTAGTTTTGTTACTGATAGTCAATAGTTTCATTAGGCATCAAATTATTAGTTATAAAAATTAGTAAGTTTTACATAAAACCGATGAAACTTTAACATTACTTTTAAGCTAATAAAAATTTTAATAAAATAAGATTTAGTATATTCAGAGGTCGTTATAAAAAATTTGTTAAAAAAGAGTCGATTGTGGTCATTCTCAAGCACCTCCCTCCATGTGATTGTCTGATGATGGAGGTGATGCATAAGCATTACAATCAGTACTTGAGCACTTTATTCAATTATCGCTATCAATATCTTCAAGAAAAAAAAACAATTCCTAAAACGTTGGCTCCTAAAATGTTAGCTCCTAAGCCTTTGGCATCTAAGCCTTTGGCACCTAAACCTTTAGCACCCAAATCATCAATTTCTGAAACACTAGTTTCTGAAGCTTTAATTCCGGCTATTCATACTACTCCTTTTACAAACTATACGAATAAATTGTCATTGCAACAACAGAATTTTTCTGCTACTCAAATTCATACAGATTTATTATATAAAACAGTATCAAAATACAATTTTTTTGTATTAATGTTACATTGTGAATGATAATGTTTTAATATGTTGTTCTCATAGCTTCACTTATTAATCACCATGGTCAAGAAAATTTCTTACCTTTCGATTCTGTATCTATTAATTCAAACGATTCTATAGCTATTAACCCAAGAGATTCTATAGCTATTAATCCAAGAGATTCTATAACTTTTAACTCAAGAGATTCTATAGCTGTCAACCCAAGATCTACATCTGTTACTTACGATTCTTTACCTACTATTGTTAATTCTAGTACATTCTCTAGCAAATCAGCAAACCGATGGACTCCATCCGAAACCCATATACTAATTCATGAAGTAGGAAAGCATCAAGGAATATTACAGAATGTCAAGGATCCAAGAAAAAAGGTTAGAGTCTGGGATGTAATCATTTCTAATGTTCAAACCTCTGATGTTGCCAGTTTAATTTTAAGAAAATGTAAAAAAACATCAATTCAACAAAAGTGGAATGCACTTTTGCAAAAATATCGGGACATTAAGGATAGAATTGGAAGTACTGGTGAAGAACCAATTCAAAATGATTGGGAGTTTTTCGATGATATAGAAGAGTATTTACGAAAAGGTCCAAGTGTTAGTGCTCCTATTACAAGTGATTTGATTAATGGAATCAAATGTAAAACACAAAAAAATATTGAGGAACAAGATGATGACGAAGTAAAAATGATTTATTTAGTTTATTTTTTTTTTATTTTTTATTTTTTTTCTAATTTATGATTGTGTAGGATTATAGTAAAAAATTAAGAAGTACACGTATTGAAGAACAGAAATCAAATATAGAAGAACTTCGAACTCTTATTAAAGAACAAACAGAAGTTATCACAAAAACTATGCAAAATCAATATGTGCATGCATCTGAAATTCAACAAAAGCAGCACAACGAACAAATGGATATTTTTAGACAGTTGTTACTTAAATTTTAAATAAATATGCAAATGATGTATTCATTAACAATGTAATTGCAAATAATAATATATTTTTAATAATATTAATAAAGCTTTTTTAATATTAATTTATAAGAATATCTGTTAAGTATTCTCTCTTTTGAATGCCTGCCATTTCTTCTCTTATTTCATTTACTAGTATAGATTCATTTTTGTCACTATTTGTACTATCACCTAACTCATTATCTTCTAAAGAATATACATCACCCATATCAATACAGAAGTTATGCAATATACAACATGCATGTATTATTCTAATGATTTGTTCAATATCAGTACAATATATTTCATTTGATAATATTCTCTATTGACCTTTTAAACATCCAAATGCACATTCAATAACCATTCGCATTGATGAAATAGTTTTATTAAACCGTTTTTCTCTATGAGTTAACATATAATAGTCAGGGTATGCTTTCATTAAATATGTTCGAAGTGGGTATGCTGCATCCGCAATAATGTAAGTTCCACCTGGAACCAGTGTCTGAAATTCAATTTTTAAATTAGTTGCGGGCTGCAACCAATTGAAAAAAACGACTTGCGGATTATAAA